TACTTGCTACATTGCATAACTAATTGAATGATTCGGTCTTTCCAACGATTAATCAACTTTAGAAGATGCCTCAAAACACTAGTAAATGAAAAAAATTGGAGCAGACATTTTTTTACATTTTCGAACAGAAAAACAGCAGGAGGAAGAACGAGTTTTGTAATCAAGCAGAAAGCCAGATCCAGATGAAAAACGGAAATAAATCAAAACACAAAAAATCGGTACTGTACTCGTTCTTGCTTCTGATTTGGAAAAAGTGGAGGCTTAAAAGTTACACGGAATTTATTTTAAGAAACTACCAACTGAACATGGTTTCCTAAACGACATAAACTATCAAACCCTAAATTGCCTCTACAAAGACGACACACAAGAATTTAAATCAATGCCCATGTTAAAAATCAAACTGTGGAAAACAGCAAGCTGAAAGCAATTACAATAATAAGAATAAGAAACCTGTACAAAACAAAAAGAGACGATCATAGTCGAAGTATTAATAATTAATCTTAATGTTTTTACAAAACCCCTTAATTTCCTCAAAACCATAATCCGCGTTAAAGCCTAATAGAATTTCAGCCGTTTAAATTCAATTTTGATGACAAACTTCGTGTTGGAAGGCAACGTGGGGAAGTGTGGTAGAAATTAAGGCATAATAGGTGTAATAAAGAGGGCGAATAAGGAGACAAAAAGTGCTAAAACTTTTAATTGAATACTTAAAAGGTTTTCTTAGTTGGGCTGATCCTCAAGCAGATGCTTAAAATCGTTCTGAGTTGTTTGACTTTGTGAGCTTTTAAAGCGATTTTAATGGTTGAGAGAGTGTCAAATGCCTTGCTGTTTTAACGGGCGCAGTTATCTATACCGATTAAATGAGATTGTTTAAATAAACATTAGAATGGGACAAACAAGCAACAATTTACTTTCGTTTTCCTGTAGTAGCGATTCAGAACTTCTCTTAGTTGACTTTGCTGTATTTTTTCGAGTAATTCGCTTTTGCTTTTTTCGATGGGAGATCGATTCAGTTTAAATTAATAAATAAATGTAAACAGTATATGTAGACAAATAAGTATAACAAAACTGTATTTGTGGGTGTCATGAGGCAGCCGAAAGAGGAAAAAATAGGCGATGTTACAACTTTGTCTTCTAAGTCATTTGGGTGGTAATTGTTAATCCTGAGCCAGTCGAGAGATTTTAATTTGTTATCGGCCAGTCACACTTTTGGCCAGACATTTACTTGAAAGTTTTTTTTATTTAAGAAGAACATTTATGACAAAGGGACTGTGCGAACATTTCATTAGAAACTTTAAGCACTCTATATTTTTCATCTTTTGTGCGTTGTCCACCCTTGTTTCCTTGTTTGTGTTTTTGATTTCCTATAGCTACTTGTTTTCACGTTTACATATGTTGTATTGTTGTTCTTGTGCGCAATGCTGTACTTGCATACTTACATTTGATGGGCTCTATTATTACAGTTGTTGCTTTTTGACATTTAGTGGTAAAATTGACAATAATTTTTGGTAATCATTTTCTCACTTTTCCTTAACGGGTTTCTGCTCAACATAAAACTAAAAACTTAGGCTAAATGTCGCAAGACCGGGGAAGTGAAACAAAACGGAAAATAAAAGCAAAACTATATATTAATTTGTAAATTTTGCATTCTAATGTAAATTGTTATAAGAAACCATTTATAGAGGCTAAGTCGTTGGAATAAACTTATCATGACAATGCTAAAGGCAAACCATTTACCAAATGTTATAGTAACAGATTGTAGATTATAAGATTAAAACAAAAACTATAAATGAATGTTTATATTCATAACTTGCTAGTCTATGACACACAATTTTTATAAAAATATTTATAATAATAATACATGATGCAATATTGAATCAATGAATGAGGAAATTAGTTTTATATTTTATTTACTTTATACGGTCCAAAACACTTATTTATATACAAAGTTTTTAAAAAGTTGACTAATGTCAAGAACACTTACATATTTCAACGCGCTTAGATAATATTTTACCAAAATACAGGACCAAAAACATGTTTCACTCCTTTTCACAAATTTGCTTGCTTTGTGTGAGTTGGCTATTTATATTCACATGGCGTGAATTTATGAGCTTCATGTATTAAATTTTTTTTCGGCTTTATTAGTATCGAAATTCTGATGCTCTTCATCTGTACCGTAAGATTCTAGAATATGATTCCTAATTCGACTGAATTTCGAGTTTTTCGTGAACTACTAATTGTCCAGTATTGACCAGAATGTCCAAATTCTCCAAACCAAATAAATTATTTTTCTCTAGTTCCCAAATACACATCTCCAGCCCGTCTTCACCTTAGCAGTTTTCGCAGCCCCAGGGTGCAACTCGGAATTCTATTCCAGACCCGATTCGAAGAGAAAAATATCTCGCAAATTGTGTGAAGAGGGTTCTACTTAAATTGATTAACTGATTTCCTGTTTCTATTAGTTTAGCTGTTCCTTGCGTGAACTTTCAAGTTAACAGTAACAAATTTGGAGCCAAACTGCTTAACCGGTGTGTTTATTAAGAGAAGTGATTTTCGTTTTATTTGCCAAATTAAAAGAATCGGTGGTTTATTCTTTATTCACCGTCCTAAATGATTGAAATTTTATAAACGCGATTTTTTTCAACCCTACTGGTACCGATAGCCCACATTGAACCAGTATTATTACTGAGTAGGCCTCAATTTAGTGAATATTGCCCTACATCTAGTAAAAAAGTGGTTGAACCCTGCAAGGCTTTATTTCATTTCATTTAAAAAATTCCCCTTTTAAGCTTCAAAGAAGCCAGGTTTCGTATAACAAGTTAAATCGTTTTTACCGGAACGTTCCAAGTGGAAAGTTTAAATCACTTATAAAAGTTACAATTGGATTTTCCAGATGCAACGGTGCGCGCAAGCACGTTATGTTAAACTTCTTTCATATTTAAATCTGCGTGCACTGTTGCTTAGCTTTTTGCAGCCTCTTGAAATTAATTTTCCATGTCTAGAATATTCAAAACTTTGAGGCTGTACATCAATTTTGTCGCAAAAGTGCTCATGCACGCGTTTTCAATTCACGACACGTACATTTCATAGTGGCTTCATATTTACCTCTCGCGTATCTACCTTATAAAAGGGAAAGAAATAATATACGCCAAAAAACGGCGGCATAGTTCCTGACTGCGTCGCTTCAGGTTCCGCTTGTAAAAACATACGCGTATAGAATAAAAGATATTTCAGAATAGCATTGGCGAAAGTAATCCTTATGCTTCAAAATAGCATCAGTTCTCTCAAACGGTGAGCACCTCACATCAATTTTCAGCAAATATATATTTTTTGCTAGTTGAGGGTAAAACTTTGTCCTAAACGTATTTATATTTAATTTAATAATTTGGGGTCACGATTGCGACAATTGCATATGAATGAAATTATTTAATTTGTAGCTTTTTCTCAAGCTACTTCCTGCGAAGTTTCACATTCATTAATACCTTGCAGAATTACATGAAACATCCTCTTGAGGTACTTTCTCTGTCGGTCTAAGCGAATAGTTGCGGTTTCGAATTGCGTTTTGGAAGGAAATGCGGGCTTTTCTGGAGTTTATTGAGGATTTAGGAATGGTACCTCATTCTGGTGGGATCGTAAAGCATTTCAGGCCCCCCAATGGTCTCTAGTCAGTGCAGGAACGCGACGATTTTTCTCATCGAAGTTCCTGTTATTTACACACCAAAGAAGAATGGGATATCGTATATGAATCGTTGTTTTGAAAAGTTCGGCTTCAGCAGATTTTTATTTTGCGGATTTGCGGAAATGCTGACGCAGAGTAGAAAATTTCGTGTTCGAGAGGTTGCTTGTAAAAATGAAAGTTGTTGTAGTAGAACAGTTTTGTCTTAATGTTGAGGAGAAATGACAATGTTAATTTTCTTGCTTTTGACCTAAGCAATTTTTCCTCAACCATGACCAGTAAACGTCAATTTGTGGTCTATTATTCCGAAGTATTTAAAGTTTTTTGTCCATTCCATCGGTATTCGGTGTAACAAAATGGTTCTATTTTTATGCTGCAGATATTGGTACTCAGGATGCATTTCCGAATTGAATTAGACGAAAATTTTCCCGTAAAATTAGTTGCATGCCGATTAGATCTGCTTGCGTATAGCGATGAATATTTTAATAACTAATATAACCGTTAACAGTGGGATTAAAATCCACCTGCTCCGACCTGAGGGTCGTTGCTAGCAGGTGAAATGGTGAATGTGGCAACATTCATTTTTTTCCCTGATTGTGACCAAATCCTCTTTAATTGTAGTTCATATTATCAATGCTGAAGCTCATCAGAGGTTCATTATTTAAGTTACGACGACAAACAATGCACAGACGTGACAAATTCCGATTTAAAAATGTTGAATCAAATTAAAGATAATTTGTATGTTAAATCCTCAATATAGACTGTAAATTCAAACAGATGCCAACCATGTGAATCACAAATGTTACAGAAATAGTTGTTTTATAAATCACATTTCAAATTTGTTCTCTTAAGAACATGGGATGGAAACATTTAGCTAAGAATATTCAATAAAACACTCTGGTATTAAATGTGTATATAATTCAAATTATTTCTCGACTCCTTGCATTATTTCAACGTTTAATAACAAAGTCTTATTGAATTTTAGGCGGAGTGTACATACATGCCCACCTCTTCTTTTCTCTTAAAAAAGAATTGCGAAGAACGGCGTTAGTATACGAAAAAACGGACTAGAAATGTTTTCGTCAGAAGCAAGCATTATATTTTTCTATATATTGAAAGAAACATAGCGTTGTACCAAGTTTCGACGAACATAACTGGCAACATGGTATAATTATTTGATAACTTAATTTTAATTCAATCATATAGCTAACTTGTACTTTAATTGTTATAATTTTCTTATCTTTCCTGGGTTTCAGTCAAAGTGTGACGGAAAAATTTTTGCCCCTCAAAAACTGATTAATGTTTTAACACTTTTTAAAATTTTGGTTTTTATACAACATGTTTTAATTGTGAATTGGTGTTTGTAGTTTGTGCAAATTTTAAATCTGATGATGGCGGGATGATGGGATTGTTGCTTCACGCTTTGACTGAGACCCAGGAAAGGTAAGAAAATCATAACAAGTACACACAGTCAGGACAATAAATCAAAATACACTTATATTTTAATTTTATTTTGAATGTATAGTTATTTTGAGTTATTTGAGTCTCAAATAGTTCTCAATATCCACACAAATGCATAAATATGTTTGCATTTGTATTTACGAAACATGCAGATTGGAGTTTTTAAATTTATGGTTTCATATCAGTCTTTTCTGCGATCCCAATGAAATTATTGAGAGTGTTTTGAATAAATAAAGGGTTACTTATTTCATGCTACTCCTCACACTTCTTAAACATAGAAACACAATTACACTTAATAAAGTAAGTTTCAACCGAAATGATGAAACGAAGCAAATAAATATTAGTTAGTCGAAAAGCAAACAGTCTGATGAAATTAGAACAATATTTTATGTATAATAAAGCATATTGAAGGAATCTGGAAACTAGGCCAAGAAAGGAAAATTGCAAATTCAAGAGAAAAATTGTTGTCGATTGGACCTAAGTAGGCTCATCCAAATATGTTTATGAGGAGGCAAAAACGCCTTTTTCGTCAGACGCCAGAACCTCTTTAAAAATTAACGCCTTGCCGATAATTTGATCCCCAGGATCTAACCAACTATCCCAAAACTCCAGGACAAAGTTCCATCATCAAACCGCCCTACCTCTATCAAGAAGCATTTTTGAATAAATCATTTAGGTCTAATTGTTTTCAAATCATCAGAAAACTTGTGAAAAATCTTACTGATTTTTTTCCTTGATTATTACAGATGCATTTAATAATCAATATGTCTGCTTTTTTAGCTTTAATTGTAGTTGCCATTATAAACATAGACGAACTAATAAAAATAAAAACGAAAATTCGAAATATATGTCAATAATCAAACAGCGTTCAAAGCGAATATACAACCCTTTAGAAAGCAATGCGACAAAGGCAATAAAATGGTTTGCAGAATTTCAATTGGGTTACTATTAAGAATTTTATTAAGAAAAATTGGTTCACTCATGGACAACACAGAATGAAAAAGCGAAGGTCCGTAATGGATGCGATAAATATTCCCCCAAAATCAACTACAATGTGTACGTTCAATTTTTCAACTGTTGCTCGACGTTCCGAATCAGTATTACCGATTTTTCCTTTTCGGTTTAGCCGAGCAAACATTCGCCTTTACTCCGACTTTATTGTCAGGTTTAAATCGAATACATTTTTATGATCCCTGAAACTAGCCGGATGGAGTTTCCTTTCCGACCAGTAAAAATATTATATACGTTATTGCCCGCTGGCTTATCGATAGTGTCATTTCGTTCAGACGTCGTAACTTTAAACTGGGCTATTTACAGTTTTCAGCTTTTTGATTTCTTTAAAAGGTAAATTTATTTAGTGGAAATAATTGCGGTCGTTTGTATGCTTCATGCGCCTAAAGAAAACTTACGACGCATTTAAGTAGCGATGGACTTGAACCATTCTACTGTAAGAAAAATGCCAGTAATTGTTCGATTTGATTATTTTATATATGATTTTTAAATCATTCGTACGATCGATGATATGGTATCATTCGTATGATTTTTATAAAGAAAAGAAGTGCTAATTGGGTTTCATTTCTGCAAAAGTGAAAAATTGTTGCATTGTTCCAACTTCCTAACTTAAGGCTTGGATGTTATGTCCCAAATATACCTTAGGGAGCGTTTCCAAGAAGATGTATTCCCATTAATCATATTATCACGAGTCCCGATCCCCAAATTTATATTTTTCTTTCTGTTATATTATTTAACACATCTCACATACCACGTCTTTTACAATTAGAGCTAATTTATATAATTTTTCATTGAATCCCCATCAAGCTGCCATATTCTTCTAAAACTTTGAAACCTGACAACTTACACCAGCGAAGAATATATGTTATTATTTGTTTCTGTTAATCAGTCTTTATCGCTTCAAAACCATGGCAAATTCGTGCCTAAATAGGAGATGGTTTCCATCTCATTCACACTTGCCATCGCCGTTGTCTAATTAAGAAACATGTTACAAATTTGGCAGCGAACAGTTGCAGTAAAGTCCCTCATTTTGGAGCTAATAACAAAAGAAAACAAATTTCTTACCAGAAAATGTTTAGAATTTATAAGCAAAGGTTAATTATAATTTTCCTTCAAGTTCGGCACGTTTTGTTGGTTTATCGTGGCGAAAATTTGTAATAGTATCCCGACACATTAAGCGGATAAATAAATTAGATAGACAAGCTATTAAATATAAATCGTTGGAATAGCGAATGGATCTACGCGTCCAGCCTCACTCCCCGTCACCTGTCAGGAGAACTATACAAAATTAATTACACCGTTCCCTATAAATCTCTACATAATTAACATCGGCCTGGCAGTTTTGCACCAGTTAGCTAAATCTGATGTAATAAATCCAGCCAGCGCATTAAAAAATCGGGATCTTTAATTTGAAAAATGGCAGTCTTAGGAAAGAATTTTCATAATGAAACACAAAAATCTCACAATGAAGAAACCATAAATGCTCAAAACACGTCAAGCAATATGTTAATGTAAAAAGAGTAGAAATGGGTAGTTTGAATCATTTTCATCGAACGATATCAAATCGCGAAGAAATTAAAGAAAATGTCAACATTTTAAAACTAAATTTAAACATGTTAAAGCAGTTTTAATTTACTTGAACATTGCTACAATTCTGCAACAATTTCAATGTCTTATTGTTAAGTTAAAAAATATATATATTTCGGAATATATGTTATAACGCTGTCAAAAAAGTTATTAAATTCATAGTTTTGAAACCACCCCAATTAATAATTCTTTGCTTACCTCTTCAATGACTAAGCGAGCAGAATAACTTGAATAACGAAAATTAAAGTATAAATATTACGACATACATATCCCTCGAGTTTCTTAAAGCAGTAAGCGTCCAAAAAACTGCTTTTAATATTGGCTGCTCGCAAACATTTTAATACTAACACCCTTCTTTCGGTGCCATTAAACTGAATCTAAGTGAAAATTCGAAGAAGATCAATTTTAATAATAAAACAATCAAATTTTCATCAATATTAAATTTGTTGTGCTTCATTGATTACTTCGAGCTTCAAAGGGTTCGTAATAAAAACGATTGAGTGTTTTCTTTGAAGTGAAAACGAGACGAAAAGGGCTGTTTGGGGATGTTTAATATTCATTTTATACCATTGGGGATCTTTTAAGTCCCCCGGAAAGTGTCAGTGTAATAACCTTGGAAATCTTTTCAAGGAACAAGCCGATTCGGATCGTATGCTAAAATACGAAGATCAGTTTGCACTTTAAGTGTTTAAAGAGCGAAGTAAGCAAATGCGTTAATAGTTTTGCTATATCATTTAGATTAGGAAAGTATAATTACGGCCTGACACAGACATAAAAATGACGAAACTGATGATAATTTGCATCAATAAGCATTGAAATTTGTATCTGAAAAACTGGCTAATTTCTACTTAAATCGTGCAAATTCCTTCAGAGGGTGGTTATTACAACATTCATTAACTTTCTGCTTAACTGATTTTTGCTAATGGTTGTTATACACGTTTCCATACGTTTTTGCGGTAACAAAAACGGCTCGCTTTTAATAAAACGTTCATTTAATTTATAAAGCTCATTTGTATTCGTATTGTGGCCTTCAAATATTACCAAACATTATTAATACATCAATCGATTAATTAAAATAAGAGGAAACAATTTGAATATGTATCAGCAACAAATTATGCAATGTGGTTTAGAATATTAATTCGCATAGTATAATTGCTATATAATCCAATTTTATTATTTCGCATAGATTTGCCTGACTTTTCAGTCAGACTGTAAATAACAGTCGTTATTTACGTATCTTCTATTATGGCGCTTTGGACGTAGAACTTAAAGTAATTAAAAACGATTTAGAATTGGTCAAACAAACCATAAACTTTCGAATTTCTGCTACTGAGAGAGTTTCATACATTTTCTTCAATGTATGATTTCCAAGGAAAACTGTTTAAAACTAACTTGCACACATGAGCGTGCTGTGATAGAGAAATTATTTTTTTGTTAATTATTTTTCTTTAAAATCCTACTATTAAATCCAATTCGCTTATGTCGCATTAATTTCCAAGCTCTACCCATTTCTTAGGGCAAATGTTGTTAGCTTGATTAATTTTAGAAATAATTAATTTTGCGCGTCTTGTGCCTTCTCACCATTAAGAAGATGATTTGAAAGTTTCATGTAGCAACTTAACGTAGCAACGTAATTCAATTAAAATGCTTTAGGATATAACTCAATTTGTACGAAATGTTTGAAATTGCTTATGGAAAAAGGGCAATTAACCTTAGCAATTTGATCCAATATCGAAAATACTGACACAAATACAACAAAAACTCATATTTCATATATGTATTTGCTTTGCTTAAATAACTGCTGAGCAGGAGTGGCTAAATAAACGAAGCTAACGTCTTGGCTTACAGACGTAAAGTCGTAAATTCCAATTCTCCTTTGATTAACTATACAATTGCAAGTTGATAGCATCGTGGTTCAGTTATTTCTAGAAAGCAGAACAGTTTCGAGTTTCCATTGCAGGTATAAATGTGTTTTAAAATGGGCAAGTGAAACTCGCCCGGCCTTTAGAAAGCACTAAAGGTTTCCAAATAACTTTAAAACTTGCGACTTTCATTATACTGCGAAAACAGGATCAGCCCTTTTACCGTTTTATTGTCGAAGTTTCCAGAAGAGAACAGAAACGACAGCTTTTATTACATTTTCACGAAATTACTGGATTTATTGTCAGCGGCAAATCAAACGACAATGTAACGTGCCATAAATTTTCGTCCTATGTCGAATTGCCCCTAGAGAAGCAAATGCGATGGTTTTTTTCGACTCATTAATTAGAGGAAGTTTAAATGCAGACGTGGGCACAATAAAAAGTATAACAAGCAGTGCATTTGTTGATTCGGCATATGATTCGTTGTGTCAGTTTTTTGAATTATTCCATGTTTCATAGCGATTTTTAGTTAATTTCGTTTTTTTAATGTGGTATTGAATGAAAATTGGCATTCATGCATATACCAATTAGCAGCAACATTCTTCTGCATCAGTTTTTGCGTCTGCATAACCCTCTACGGAATATATATATTTTTTGTATTTCTGTTTCAAAGCAAACATATTGACAAAAAAACAAATAAGGCAACAGTATTCTGCAGCCATTTTAAAGCCAATGCTGCTTATGAGGATTAAGGTTTATCCCGTTGCTCGTATAAGTTGGGATAACATAAGAATGGCCTTTCAGAAATGTTTAAAGTGAGAATGTAGCTCGAATTAGTTGAGAAAAATATTTAACAATAAAATAATCTATTTTTTTTTCTTTACCTTTAATATTTACTTTAAAAATAATATTAACTTAACTTTTTCCTAAGTGAAATTTTTATTGAATTTTAAATGAGAAAAAACAAATTTGAACTATGAGATACATTTTTCAGTCACTATAAGGTCTTTTGTGAAGTAAACGGAACTACACTTAACATGAGCGCCAAACCAGAAAGAAGATTTAAGTTGCATGCCTTTAATATTTAAATTCCCAATTTACTTTAAAATCTAATACAAATTTGCAAAATGTCTCATTTTCTGTTATTTTCTGATATTTGTTGTTTTGAATAATTTAATATTTTTCAGTACGACCGTGGAGACAACTGTAATTTGCGCTATTTAAAAAGCTTGCTGTTCCGCTCTGCTTATCGTATTTTAATTATATTGTTCCCTGTCTTAAGATCGGAAATGCGTAGCATTTTGAAAATCATTTATTTGAACAAACAAGTTTAAAACCGTAGGGTAAGCCAAATTCTATTGCATGATAGTTTACCCAATTGATTTAGAAAATATTCTCTGGCACCAAACAGTATAATTCAAGTGGTCCTTGTTTGTCGTTTTAACCTGTTAGTAACTCTGAAGAATAACCGAAAACGTGTCGCAATTTTTTAAAGATTTTTTTTAAATCCGTTCAACTTTGTTGTTTCTTTACTGGAATAACTGAATCAACTAACCACTCTCAGATGAACGACTAAAATTTAACCGTACAATAACAGGTAAAAATTACCAATCATCAGAAAAATTGTATTTTTAAGAAAATATCGCAGGAAACAAAATTAAAAATTACAAAACCGAAGATTACTCGTCAAAACCCTTAATCGTTTTTAATTTTTTTTTAGAAATCATCTTGAGAAACCAGCTGCTCAGAATGGGAACTGACTGGCTCGTCGAGCAGACCGATAACTCCCTATCAGAAGACATTGTAAGACGTATTATTAAAGCACAGGCCAGAGAAAAGCAAGAACAGTGAGATACAGACGATCAGGCAAGGCACAAAGTGACGAAGTGGAGCAGCCTGTCGCGACTGTCGCATATAAAATTTGCAGTAAAACCACGAAACAAGAAAAATTTTATCGTCCAAAAACCACAATTTGTGATGTGAGACATAGTCTCGCCTAGAAGGCAAAGCGCGGTTCATAACTATATTATAAGGGGCAAAACATTGTAACATTTTCGCAAGGATTAATACAAGTTTCTAATCATTGGAAAGTAATAAATAAACTTCCCGCTTGAACCAGCCTCAACATAGTACATTTTTTAGGATTTTTAAATAATTTTTCTTAGATTCTAATTATTTAAAGTTTATCCAATTAGGTCCAAATGTAAGCAGATTTTTGCAAGCAATATTTTTTTGGCTTCTATAGCCACCAGAGAACAACAGGTTAAAACCATCTGGATTTTTCAAAATAGCTTCGAGAACTTAACCAAATTATCAGATTAAAAAAAGTCTAATACAGTTGAAACTGATTAAAACGTTTCATATTATTTGCGAATTTCTTCTCCATTATCAAATCATACCTAGGCAATGCCTTAACTTTTTCTATTTATTGTGTAATAAACGATTGCAATTTAATTTCTATTAATATTTGATTAAACTTTATTTTAAATAGTCGACAGGATAAGAATTTAGAATTTGGCAAAATTAAATTACTTTAAAGTTGTTTGTAAAATCTGACGAAATTGCAGAATTTGTCAACTTTAGAAATTAAGCTATTCTGATGCATCATGTTAACAATCTGGAATTCTTTCCAGCTACAAACTCTTCTACCGATTTCCTCCAGATCTTGCCAATTTGGTCTAGAACACGCTTCACATATTTAATAGCATATTCCAGATAGACAGCTTACCTACGTATGCATCAAGTGAATATTGCCCTAGACGTGCTTGGGGATGGCACTTTTTAATGTGCTTTCCAGATCTAGTGAAGATAAATGTAAGAGCCTTAGAAACTAAAGGGAAACAAATAGACATTTCCAACACCATTTGTGTAAGTTCACACAAGGCGGAGGCCCCATCGTTCAGGTAGCTTCTTCGAGAAACCGCACTCTAAATTATAATTTAATCCTCTTAGGTTCTTTACGAGTTGTACAAGTTACGTATCGCCAACAACCTGTCTGAGGTATATATAATTACGTCTGCGCTTGAATTGCGACAAGGCAATAGCGTTAATGAACATAAGATTAAATCTGCACGTCGAGCAGGTCTAGATTAAAACCGGCATGACATCTGCTTGGATCTCTTTGCAAATTGAAATGCCCTGTAAAGTCATTATTTTAATGCGTTTTCCTGATATGAGATGCATAATTATGGTTAGGCTGACACAAAGTCTGTAGTCACAATGTTGTGAAATTCCTTCTTGTTAATGTTCAGATCTATCATGGAACTTATACTTTAGAGCAAGGAAACTGTATTCCATTATTAACCACTTCTGCGTTGGAAGCTTAAAAAGCATTCACAGCTATATTTTAGAAAGTAATGCTTAGAAAAACTTGATTAATTTTAGCGCAAGCAACAGATATATTAGAAGTTCTGTGGAAAATCCCGCCTTGCATTGAAAATTCCAATTGTGGTAGGTTTTATGAGCCACTAGATCTTAATAGCGGGTACCATTTAAAAAAAAACTGAAACTATAGGAGTAGCAAAACCATTGAAGATTTACCTAGTTTATATATAAAAGTTAAAATCGTTAAATTGAGCTAAAGCTCCAATATATTGGTGGACATTTAACATCGGAAAGTCGCCTTAAGCGAATGATAAAGTCCCGAAAAAGCACAATAGGATTGGGATAAAATAAATTTTAAATGTATAAAGACAAAACCCTACTGATATATCAAGAATAGTCAAAGCTGACAAGATTTTAAAACGCAAATATGAGTGTTAAGACACTGGTTAGCAAAGTGGATATTTTGATTAATTATTTTTTACTAATTTGCCCCGCCTTCAATACGGAAAGTAAAATCACGGTCCAGAATACAATGCCATAATCTAAGCTTGTACAATATCATACATTTTATGCACACAATACAAATTAATCAACAAAAATTGGAAATAAACGATATAATTGAAAACCATTTTGCCGAAAACAAAACAGAAAAATACCCCACAGATATTCCCAATTAAAAGTATATTTTAAGCCTAAAAAGTGCAACCAAAAGTTCCATTCCAGACTATGTATCTCATATACGTTTTCGTTTTAAAATAAAGCTGTAGTCGATTCCTAGACTCCTGCTATATGAAATCGATTCGCCTGTAGGCGTAGAACATGCATATGCTTCAGTTTGTTTGTAATTTTGGAAAAACGGTTTTTATATTATTTTGTTTTGGAAGTCAATATAGCGCCATGTTGAGTTTTTAGCAATTACCAAATTTCGAAGAAACTCTTAGTGGATGATGACTTTGGAAAACGCTGATTACCTTAAACTGAGCTGGTTTAATTCAACACATAAATTTTACTTTGAACAAGGACTACTTCAAATTTGCGAGCCCTTTCCAGGTGTTGGTTCACACCTACACAAAGATATTCTCTTGCAAATGACTAAAATGACCAAAATGTGTACTCGTTTTTCAGTATAAAATTGGAATATATGTTTTATAACTCTGAAAATATTCAGAATTTATTAAGATTTTAGAAGACATCACCGAGACATGCTGAAAAAGTAATCATTTTTCACAAGCATTAGAGTCATATAGATACAAAGGTACAGTTGCGATTCTGTATACAAAACTAAATAAACATGTACGAAAACGGTCAACTCAATTTTGTTAAGAATAAGAACTACATTATTTGCTACTTCTCGCCGAGAGTATAAGAAAATGACTATGCGGAGTACCATATTCAAACGAAAGAAGCATTTTATAAAATCACAAGAAAAAGATAAGTTCTTCAAGTGCAGAGACCGACTTCCATTTTTGCCACTGATTAAAAAATTCCCTATGCAAGAAAGAAAAGTCGTTCGGTATATCGTATTTGCCGCAGTTATGAAATACAAGGCGCCGTAAATATTTAAGTGCGATGTCCACGATATCTTCTCCCAGACGATGCGATGGGTGGTCTTGTTATTTCTCATGTTACGACTTACCCCCTGGTGGGATATTTTTGCGAAATTTTAAGGTCTTTGGACTGACAATGCGGCGCCCGCTGTTGCAGATTTACGATAATAAATTTCTAACGGAGAAAACAAGTTGTGTGCTTCAGGCAGAGCACCTAGTAAAGCTGCACACTTTATTTTACTCGAGATATTAACATGAGACTCACAATTTTCGGAACGCTGTCATCTGCAAAAAGGCAACACGGAAGTGTACATTCGCTGAAATCATTTTGGTCAATTTAATTAATTCTAGTTAATAACAATATGGCAAGTCTTGACCTCACGAGTATGAACATTATTGCAGTGGCAATGTTTCGAAAATGAACGATCCTTTAGCCAACAATCCAGTTAAACAGCGAACAATATATTTTAAATATTGTTGTGCTCTACCATACAAATTACGTTTAGCGCATATGCAAATCAACGCTCGATGAGCAGTGTAATTACTGACCATTTGTTTGATGCATGTAGAAAAGAATTTATTTGCTTGGTTGATTAGAATTTCAACATGTATGGAAAATTAATAGTGTAATATTTTACCAACTATGCTTATAAATTAACAATAAAAAACATAAATAAAATAAAATTCCATGTAATTAAGTGCAATCTTAAAATATTTTCCTCACTATTTTCTGAGAGTGTCCCCTATTATAGAATGATCTATAACAATTAACCACTTTAAGGCGTAATGACTAGAAAGACAGTTTATGTTTCTGGTTTTATTGGCGATACAGTAAACCTTTGCTAAAAGGGATGTTTTCGTATTCCATAACTCATTAGCAATGTGCAAAATTAATTTATGACTATCTATTAGCTATTCCAACCCTTATTTGTAGTTTTTAGAGGACTGATGTAAAAAAATATTATGATTATGATGAAATATTTTGACTGAATCCAATTTTTTTGCCTCAGTAAGATCAATCTTCTGCAATTAAATTTTATTAACGACCGTAAACACAGTTTATAATATCCCACTTTCCTAAGCTGCCGATAACACGGGGTGTCTGCAAAATGTCTGGTCAAAATGCCATCACGTCCAAGTGCACGGTTTCAAAATACAGGGCGACATACTCAAGATGAAAACATCGAAAAAACTTAATCATTAAATAAATTGTCGAAAGAGGTGCAATTATTTGTTAAGTGAGGAATTTGTTAGCTAAAATTGCATATTCAAATAGTAAACAAGTTATGCGACGATACGAATAATTACTTCACTACAGAGTCCGTTTCTAAATAATTCTTATAATCTACGATAAAAAAAATGTGGTGCTTTAACTAGTTTTGTATATATCTGGAAGAGATCTTCAAGGTGCTTACAAAGTGTTAACGGATTTCAATTTCGCGCCCGCTAAAACCCCCCGATACGAGATTTCGTTCATATAGTAGCACTATAAGCGAAATAATTCTTTTTTCTCAATTTTTTTTACCTTAACTTTGAGGCCCTGCACTTCGAAGACAGTCCACATTTGGATTATACGAATTACGTTAATTTATCATTTTTTCACCTCAGGAATCTGTGGTAGGATTTTGAACAGACGTTTTACAGAGAACCAGTATAACCGGTGTGTCGTATCTCCATAAATTATGACAACGATATATTTCGTGTGCTCTTCTAAATATTAAATTATGTTTAAGTGATTATTCTTTACGTGTTGCAGTAATATTCTCTTGCAATATTTTAAATTAACTTTAATTAACCAAATTTGCCTATATTATAGACTTTCGGAAGCATCAACCTGCGCTTATCAAAAATTTCCAAAAAAGTCGTAATTTTTCGCAAAAAAAATAACTAAAACGGCAAATTCAATGAGACTATATCAAAATTATTTTAGCAGTTTGAAACAAATCATTTTTGGTGGTATGTGTGCCCTTTAAATTTTAATTTCAAATCGTATGCTGAAAACAAGCCGCGATTAACTAAGAAATAAAACTCTATTAATTCTAATGTTGAAATAACGATGTTGATGAGAGTAAAACGTATTGAAAATAAAATGACCGCTTTCTTATAACAAACATTTTCAGTAATCTTGTCCAAAGTCCAGTGCTCACCATCTAGACGAAACAATACTGATCACCATGTTACTCACCTAACTTACACAATTCAATAGCGGTCAAACCCCGTATTTCCTGTCAATTTCCTTCTAAT